GATTTGCCTAGAGTCTCCCAGCCAGTATGTGTCTGAGGCTGATTTGAACTCAGGTCCTCCTGACTCCATGTTCAGCATTTGATCCACTATGTCACCTAGATGCCAGTAAAGAAAGTAAAGAATGGATTCTGTGAGGAGAAGATAAGGACAGAGAGTCTTCACAGGCCTGCGGGTCAGCCAGGACAAAGGCACAAAGACAGATTGGGGAGGGAGGGAGGCTGTGTTCGAGAAACAGAGGGTCCTATTGACTGAACTGCAGAATTCAGGAAGGGCAGTAATGAGGGTGAGAAGGCAGGTTAACACCAAGTTGTAAATGCCAAATGCAGGAGTTTAGAGTTGAATCTAAAGCTAATAAGAAGACTCTAGAATTTACTGAGGAGGGGAGTGACATGGGCAGAAGCAGAGCTGGGGGTCCAGGAGAGCCCAGAGAGAAGCAGGAATGTGACCAAGTACATCCAGAGGGAGGTTTGGTCGCTGTCCGCCACCTTTCCTCAAATGCACTTCCTCCTCATCTTCACCTGCTGAGATCCTTCTCCTCCTTCAAGGCTCAATTCAGACTTTCCTCTCCTCCATGAAGCCTGGAGATCCCTTCTTCCCCGGGCCCCCAGGCCAGGTGAAGTCTCCTCTCTGCAATAGTCCTGGAGCTCTTTGCCTGGGCCCTTCCTTTGCCCCCATCACAATCTGGCCCCAACTGTGTATTCATTCTCCCCACCCCCAACCCTAGCCAGCAGATTATAAATTCCTTAAGACGGAAGGACTATGTCATTTTTCATCAGCATATGCCCAGTGCCTTGCATGGGGTTAAGTGAATAATAAATGTTTGTTAGCTAGAAATGACCTTCATAAAGCAAGTCAGATGCATTTGGACAGTGAAAGTCTACTCAGCTGGGCTGGGCTTCCGAGAGGTGACAAACCTGTGACTCCCTCTCCTTTTCTCCCTGTTCTCCTCTCTCAGACCCTAAAAACAGAGAAAACACAGCCTTTTCCGCAGACTGCCTGGACAAACGCCCCATTATCCCCTGCCAGTCAAATCCAACTTTGGGCACAGGTAGAGAAAGCTGGCTTTGCTTGCTAGTGACCCAGCACTTGACTGAAGGGAAGGAAAGCCAAGAGAGGCATGCCACTCACTCACATATATGTGTTGTATTCCCTTATTGGAATGTAAGCTTTTGGAAGTCAAGGACTGGCTTGCCTTGTGTATCTGTGTCCCCATGACTTAGCACAGTGCCTGGCACTCAGTAAGCACTTAACAAATACTTTTTCATTCTTATTCACTCATTCTCCAAAGACTCTGTCCAATCTTGGGGGCCACTTCAAAGGACACAAAACTATAGGCATGCCAACTCCCTTCCTTGCCCTTCTCTTCATCATCCCAACATCTGTAGCCACAAGGAAATCCAGAGCTCTAGTGGCAATCCTAACCTTCCGATATCATCTTTCCAACAGCTTGGTTTTCTGTGGTGCTTACCAGAACTGTAACTTGGACAGGGTAAACAGGGATCTGACCCAGGGTGCTGACTAAGGGGGGTGGGGGAGGCGGCTTGCATCAACATACCCCAGCTATTATCCTAAAGGCCCTATCTCCATGGCATCGTTATCCCAGGATCCACCCCCCTCTTTCCCCTCACGGGTACAAAGACCACCTTCTCTGGAAGAAGGGTTCTTACCATCTTCTGGCAAGACTTCACCTATGATGAGATCATCTTCTGCACTCTACCTTTCTCCAGTGAAGCTACTTTGGACATAATTACAGCTAGTTATAGCTCTGACTGCCATAGTAAGAGAGGATAATGATATTTCTACTCATAGAAGGTTACAGGAAGTTCCATTGAAAACCTTCCTTGCTCCGAGGCCCTCATCTGTTCCAGTGATGAGAAGCACCCAAAGGGGGAAATGCCAGCCCAACTATTAGACATCAAGAGAGAAGAAAGGACAGACCACTCAATACTCTTACCATGGATGCTTAAGGAAAATAAAACTGTTTATTTGAAAAACAGCACATAAAGTAGCCTGACTCACAGAATCATAGAATCTCTGAGCTGAATTAGGACTTCGAGGTCCTATGCTCCAAGCCATACTCGAAGAACAATCCTTTCCACAACATACCCACCAAATGGTCATCCAGCCTTCACTTGGTGAGCTCCAAGGAGAGGGAGTCTGCCAGTTGCTGAGACAGCCCATGACACTTTGGGGTATCTCTATTTGTTAGGAATCAAGCCTCAGTCTGTCTTCCACCCCCTGGCCCCAGTCCTGCCCTCCGAGCACAAGCAACAGACCTTTAATACTGGGGAGCAGCTCTTGGGTACCCAGTAGGTCTTCTCTTGTCCAGACTAAACGTCTCCACTTCCTTTCACATATCTTCACATTATGTGGTATCCAGTCACCTCACCCTCTCAGTCACTCAACCCAGGATGCTCTCCAGATCGTCAATGTCCTTTTCAAATTATGGTGCCCAGAGATAGTATGATGAAGGGAGAGGACGGTGGGACCATCCCCTCCCTTATTCTGGATATTATATCTATCATGATACAGCCTAAAACAATGGAGTTCTTGGCTACCCTTAGAAATCAGGGAATAGCCCAGTTAAAGCAACCAGTTCATCAGCTAAAATAAATGTATTAAGCACTTAGGCCTTGTATTCACTGAGCCTAGGGATACAGAGAAAAATGGAAAATTGCCCATGTCCTCAAGAAGCTTATAGTCTAATGGGGTAGGTAACATATACCTATAAAGATCTAAAATGATACATGCCATGAGGGTCCAGGCAAGGTTAGAAAATATAAATATGCAGTGGACTCATTCTAAGGGGTTTTGTGACTTCCCCTATCTCCATTCACTGCAAGAATAAGAGAGAAGAAGGCAGATGGTGGGAGCAGATCAGGGTCAGTGACTGACAACGTGTGAAGTAATAAGACAAGAGGGTAAAGGAAGCAAAAGTACAGAATAGTGTAAAGTTGAACTGGTCCCTAAGGAGAGTGTGAGCAGAGATGGGGGCAGGGAGAGCTTGGCAAAGTGCTGAAGGCTGGAAGAACTGGAAGTCATCATGGAAATTAGGTAGAACTGGAAGTCATCATGGAAATTAGGTAATCAGGCATAAGGGGAGATGGAATTCTAGGAACTATGACTGCATAGAGGAATTCTAGCGTTCTTGGAGAGAGAAGTAGGTGAAGGCAGGATCAAGCTTATGACCACCCTTGTGTATCTCACAGGAGGAGGACATGGGAGATGATGAGGTTGACAATCTGGAAAAGTAAGTATTTGAGGGCCCATCAACATGTATGTCAAAGTCCCCAAGGATGATGGAAGGATTTGGGGTAGAGAAGAAGACTACAAGCCAGGCACTGACCTCATCAAGAAAAGAAAGACATGATCCTGAGAATCAGGAGACAACGGCCACCAGGCTCCATATTGGATAAAAAACAATAGCAAGTGTTGAAAGAGAAAGCATTCCTGTGGTTATGTCACCAATTTGGCTTCCGGGTTTCTTTAAATACTTACTTGTTTGACTTATGGCCTCATTCACACACACCTAGTATTTAAAATACAGATGCTAATTTCTTCTCTGATATTCCAATCTCTGCTCTTCACTGAGTCCAAAATACACAAATCTTTTTTTTTTAAGTTTTTCTCATTCAATTAATAGCTCCTAGCACTAGGTCTCTTCATTGCAGATGTCCCTGAAATCCAAACATGGGTGCATTTGAGGTCATTGTTTCTCCCCCTCAATTACTGCTAATTAACTCATTCAGGAATGAGACACATGACCAGTAAAATGATGGATTAATAATTTAATGCTTCAACTTCCAAACAATGAAATTATAAACTGTATATAGAATTTCTAGAGCTTAACTACAAGATTAGACAAAAGAACCACGATGGTCAAGCTAAAAATCCTATTAATTAACCACAACTTTACTATTTACATTGCTTACTAAGTATGGCACCACCCACCTCCACTAGCCCTTGGCAGCCAACATAAGCAGTCTCAGGCTTGTGCCAGGAGCCTAGCCTGAGGTAGGGACCCCCCAAAACTGCAGGGTCTCTGCCCAGAACTCCTAGCTCCTCAACCCCCTAGACCTAAAGAAGTGGTTGATTCTGTCCAATCATGCAAAGGAAAAAGAAAAGAATGAAGGGAGGAATCAGGTAGTCTGAAAATGAACCAGTATAGGCAAATGTACTGGGCCTGAGGGAAAGGTGAGTGGAAACTGAGCTCAGATCAGTCCTACACACCAGTTACTCTGGGCAGGGACCCAGACAGGTGAACCAACTATCCCTCTTCTAAGGAGGATTAAGGCAGCTCTGCAGCCTAGTAGCCCAATGTCCAGGGCCTGCAGCACCAATTAAAGTAAAGGAGCCGGAGAGTGAGGGATAGGGAATACAAGAAAGAGGATGATAGAGATATCAAAAGAAAAAGGCTCAGGATATCAGCAGATAAACCAAGAGACAGGGTACTGAAACAGCAGAAGGAAAAATGCATAAAAACACAAAGAGAACACCAAGTACTATCAGCAAATATTACAAACTGAAGGGAGAGTGCCTGATGAAAGACAAAATACTGTGTAATATACAAAGATTATGGAAACCTTCAGAATGACTCAAAGGAGAAATAAAAATCATAAGGGAAAATATTTAGGAATGAATTTAGGCAGGAAATAAAGTCCTCCATTCAGAATTGAAATTAAAAAAAAAAAAACATGAACCTAATTCATTCATTATGGGATCCTCCTTCAGGTAAATGGTACCACCCAGTTTCTTAAAGGAGCTAGCCCTATATTTGTTTTAAAGCCATCAAACTAAATAAAATGTGAATTTAAAACATTAAACTATGTTTGACCATCTTCCAACTTCAATGAATGTCCACTGAAAGTTGATGATACGTTATAAAATGACAAGAGCCATTCTGTGGTGTTAGGGTATTTCTGTAGGTCTTCTCTGGAGACTGTACTAAATACAAAGGCTATCCTGGTGGCCTCCCCTCCAGGACAATGAGAGAATAATATTCAGGAGGTCCCACAGCTTTTCCAATGGTCCTTGCTTTCTGCTTGGCAACTCTGACTCAGAGAGCTGACCTCTGTGGGTATATTCTCAATAACTTCAGAGAGTGTGAACAGACAAAAAGAGATCTCTTCATATGCATACCTGGCTCCACTTTCATAGAGGCAGGCAAAAGTGATGGCTGGAATCCCTGGTGTTGACGGATCTGAAAAGGGTAGCTCAATCACTGCCAGATCAGAGTATGCACTGGGCCCTTCATAAATCACCCAGGGCTCAGTCCAGCTGTCAGCATTTCTGGGAAAAGTGCTAAGGTAGACTCCCATATTTATCCGAGACCTGTGACTTGTGGGGTGGGAATATAATACCCAAGTAGGTGTCTGAAATGAGGTGGAAGTTTGAGAGACAGGTCCTGGGGCATTCTGGCCCAAATCACCATCACCCTCAGAGATCAGAGATTCTTCAGAGACTTTCTGTTGTGGGTGGCATTTGGATGCATTTTTTACAGAGGTGACTGGGATACTTCTAACACTCTTTGCTTTGTGTTTCTGAAGACTATGCAGCTTTTGTAGGAAACAGAAATAGTCACAGCCACCAACAAACCATCTCTCCCCTTGTGACAGAAATTGAGAGGAGTTCCTAACGAGAGGAGCTGGGAACCCAACGATGCTGCCATGGCAACCACGGTTGCTCTCCACTAACTTCCGAACCAGCTGTCCCGGGAGAAAAGCAGCCCCATCATCCATGCTGAGCGCCTGCACCCGGCAGCCCAGGGGACTCCTGGCATTGCAATAAAGAATATTGCTGCCATCTTCCTCGTACACAGATACCAGCTGGCACTCCCCAGTTTTCAAGTTGGGGATGAAATCCCCAAATTGCCAGCTCTGACCATGGTCATCACTGTAGAAGGTGAAGGAGTGAGGGGTGGTCTTGCAGATTTTCCCAAAGCACTCCTTGCAGTCGATGTGGTAAGTGTAAGCAGGAACAAGGAGACGTCCTGACCTCAGCTGGATGCCATGGCCAGGGCCCAAGGCAAAGGTAGCCCAGTCTGCAGAAAAAGGAGAGAGAGGCTGCCATGAATGAGGAGAGGAAAGGCGAAGAAAGGGGGGGGGGGGAAGAAGAAGAAGAAAAAGGAGGACAAAGAGAATTAGTAGTAGTAATATTAATAGCCCTCTCCCAACCCACTTCTGGAGAAGTCTTTACATAAACAAGAACAGCACAGGGAACATTTAGGTTCCAGCTTCAAAGGCCAGGCTACCCTGGCCCTTTGAACCACTCCAATAAGCATGAATTACTTTGGGGGCCCGACCCACTCCTGGTCAGGTCCCCCTTTCTGTCCCCCGTTAGATTGTAAGCTTCTTAAAGGCAGAGACTGTCTTGCTTGCATTTGTATGCACAATGATTAGCACATAGCCTGGCACATAGAAAACACTTAATAAATGCTGAATCAACCTATCATATCTATCATCTATCTATCTCTATCCATTCATCTATCTGTCATCTATCTATCCATCCATCCATCTC